TGTTTAGGGTGGGTTTTCACCCCCATCAGAAAGGGTTGTGGCGTGGGTGGGGAGCTGGCAGCGCTGGGTGGGGGTCCCTGGTGTTGTGTGGTGCCAGGGGGATGTGTGACCTCGGTGTCGTGGGCACCTCCTGCATGGCAGGATGCTCCTTTGCAGGGTGGGTTTGGTGGAGGAGGGGGGTCCTGGGAGAATCAAGCAAGGCTGGGGTCTGCTGTTGTGCTGGGAGGAAGAGGAGGAGGAGGAGGAAGAGAGGTGGGGTGGGAGCAGGCAGGGGGAATGCGCTGTCCTGGTGGGAGTGAGGATCCTGGGTTCATCCCTGCCAGAGGTTTGACCTTTGGGAAGTGCCTGTGCTGGGAGGAAGATGAGGACAAGGGGGAGGAAGATGAGGAGGAGGAAGAGGGGTGGGAGCAGGCAGAAGGATCGTGCTGTCCTGGTGGGAGTGAAGATCCTGGGTTCATCCCTGCTAGAGGTTTGACCTTTTGGGAAGTGCCTATTTGGGGAGGAGGAGGATGGTGTGGGACGAAGCAGAGGTGGGAGCAGAACTACCCTTCCCAGCCCTGTGGATCTGGGGGGGTCTCGGGCATCCCTTCATGCCCTTGGGCTGCCTGTATTGGCTCTGCTGCCCCCTCCCATTGTGGGGTGACATCCTGCTCTCTCCTTCCAGGCTGACACCCAGATGCAGCACCCGGGCAAGGTCTCCTTCAAGTTCATCAACAAGATGCAGTTGGTGAGTGGCTCCTTGCGGGGGACAGAAGGGGACAGGGACCAGGGATGGCTGGTGCATGGGTGGGGGGGGGATGTCCTTAAGTCCTCAATCTCATCTCTCCTGTCCCTTTTTGTGGGGAACCCATCCTGGGTGGCTGCCAAGTCCCAGCTTGGACAACCTGTGGGACCATAAAGGAGCATTTGGTGGCTCCGTGCCTCAGTTTCCCTCCTCCCAGGCAGAGCGGGGTGGGTGCTGCTCCCTCTGCCCATCCAGTAACCAGGCTGAGTTGGTGTCTTTCTCTTTGGGGGTGGGGGATTCCTTGCAGAACGACTCCGTCTGCTACGTGAAAGCTGCTTTTCCTCTGCTGGGCAAGATCCTGCAGCAAACAGAATTCAAGGAGAACTCCTCCAACGCCAAGAAGATGCAGATGGTGCGCAGGATGTACAATCGCATCGATGAGAACGTTGACCCCTGCATCAGGGATGAGGATGATGAGGAGAGGAAGGTAGGGTGTCCCCGTCTCCCCTGCCTCCTGGGGTGCCAGATCTGTGGGGGGTTGAGGAGCTGAGACCTCATCCTTGGGTGAAATGGAGAGTCCAGAGCACGCTGTGTGGGCAGGACCTTGAGGTGGACCTGAGGTTGTAGAATCATGGGGTGGTTTGGGTTGGGAGGGACCTTCAAGATCATCCAGATCCAACCCCCTGCATGGGCAGGGACACCTCCCACCAGCCCAGGTTGCTCCAAGCCCCATCCAACCTGCCCTTCAACACTGCCAGGGATGGGGCAGCCACAGCTTCCCTGGGCAACCTGGGCCAGGCTCTCACCCCCCTCACACCAAAGAATTTCCTCCTCATCTCCAACCTCAATCTCCAACTTCCACTTTTCATCCATCCCCCTTGTCCTCTCATTACAAGCCCTTGTGAAAAGTCCCTCCCCAGATCTCTTGTAGACCCCCTTCAGATGGGGTGTGTATGGACACAGGGAGACCCTGAGGGGTCAGACCCTGCCCTGGGTGCAGCTGGGTGGCTGTGGGGGTGACACTGGGTGGTGGACACTTGGCGTGGTTGTGGAGCTGATGCTGAGCCCGGCCCTTCCTCCAGCTCTCACAAATGTGCTTCGAGGAGTTCACCACCTCCCCCTACGAGATGCTGGTGCTGGTGAAGGAGTTTTTCCAGGACATCAACCAGCTCCTGCAAAACCAAGAGACCTTTGAGAAAGATTGCAGCCAGGTCTACCGCAGGACCTGCGTGGGACCCAGGAAAGCTGGATCCTCACCAGGTGAGATGTCAAGGAGTTACCTTCCCCTTGGCCAAGCTGGGTTTGGGGTGGGGAGGAGGGCTTGGGCTGGCCTGCATGGAGCAGCTTGACAGCCACGTGTCCCCAGCCACGGGCACATGTGGGCACCACGGGCACGGCTCTGCCTTGGTCCTTGTCTCTGTTGCTCAGCTGGTGGCCGTCCCCACGGGGTGGCCTTGGTGGTGTGTTGCTGAGCTGTGTGTGTGGGGAGAGCTGAGCTTGGGAGAAGGGGCTGGAGGTGGGATTTGGGCTGGAATCCTGCTGGAAAGAAGGCTGAGGGGAGGGGAATCTCCATCGGCCTGGCTGGAGGCATCAGGCTCGGCTCCATCTCAAGCCCCAGCACATGGGTTGGGAGTAACACGGAGAAGTGGAGGCGCCGGGAGCTCTGCCACCGACGTGCTGCATGACCTTGGCCGTGGCACTTCAACGTCCCCGTGCCTCAGTTTCCCCTGACCGAGCCTTCGGGGAGTGATCGTTGCCTGCCGGGCCAGAAGAGCCCCCGTTGCCGCCCGTGCTTTGCCCGTGCTGTGTGTGTGCATGTCCGTGGAGGAGACGTCTGGCTGCTGTCCATGTGTCCCAGCCGTGTCCCTGTGCCCTGTCCCTGCACCGTGGGGGACCTTAAACGTGGCTGCCCAGCTCCTGCCAGTTGTGGATAACCTGCTGCCACCAGCTCAGGGGACCCCGTGACTTGGGTTGGCATCCTCCTTGCCTGCTGCTTGGCATCTTTGTGCTGCTCCCTGCCTGCTCCCTGCCTGCTCCCTGCCTGCTCCCTGCCTCATCTTTGCTCTCCCTTGGTTTGCCTTTTTTTTGGGAAGGCTTTTGGACCTTCTTCCCCAGGGGCTTGGGGGAGGGATGGGGACACTGTCCCTGACCTCAGCTCTGCTGCCTGTGCCCCCTCTTGGAGACTGGTGACCCCACGGCCCGTCTCTTCTCTCTGCTTCTTTCAGGTGTGGGGACAGATCCCGACTGCAATTGCCTGTCCCCTGCCCTCCCTCCTGCCACCCAGCCCTCCCTCCCTGCTGCCACCCACGCTGGCAGCGAGGTGGCACCCGCTAGCACCCAGGTCCCTTACAGCCTCCTCCATGCCACCCTCGCTGGTTTAGACGCCCTGTCCCAGCCCCTCAGTAGCACAGAAGGTGGCTCAGGGGCCGGGGAGGTCCCAGGAGCTGGGCTTGGTGCCACTGCCCCGGTGCCACCCCCCGTGATGATGCAGCAGAGAGATCCGACCGATGGCGCCCGAGCCCTCCAGGACCCAGCCGGGACACTCAGCCTGGCACCGGTGGATCATGTCCCCATCCTGCCTGGGGATGGAGACCTGGTGGAGGGGGACACCGAAGTGGTGGCCTCCCACCCCTTGCTGCAGCACCAGACCCAGAAGCAGGGAGCACCCATCCTCCCGGAGCATCCCGGCGGGCTCAGGACCACAGCATCCCCCGGCGCCAGGATCCGTCCCGCGGTGGCATCTGAGCCCGTCACCCAGCTCCGCTTCACCAGGATGGCCCCGGGGATGGGGCAGGACCGAGCTCGGGGGCTGGGGGCTCGGGGGCACGGCTGGGGGGGGAGCCGCCCCCGGGGGCCCCCGGGCGGA